GTGGTCTTTCTAATGCTGTTTTCACTGGGCTTTAGATGGGAGAATTGAGTTCTTTCTAGGGTCCTCTTGTCTTGGGCAATGTGTGATCTAACTCTCAGCTACCATTTTCCTTTGAATTAGAATTAGTTTGGATATGAAGCACTCCTCTCCCAAGCTCATATATTAAAGGGTTGGTTCCTGGATGTTGTCACTGTTTTGGGAGGTTCTGAAAACTTGAGGAGATGAGAAGTAGCTAGATGAAGTAGGTTACTGAAAGAATGCTGTTGAGTTCTAGGCCTCTCTATCTCTATCTCTGTGCTTTCTATCTACCATGGGGTTATTAGCAGCCTCTGTCACATGGTCAGCTGCTATGATTTTCTGCCTCATCATGAACTCAAGACCAATGCAGTCATGGATTGATTATAACTGAAACTTCTGAGGTCTTGAGTCAAAATAAATCTTTCCTTCTTTATCAACTATTTTGTCACAGCAGCAACAACAAAAAACTGATTGACAAAGAAAATTGATAACAGAACTGCAAATATTACTGTGAGTCCATGACTATGTGGTTCCAAAGCCTTTGTTTGGTAGGAGGATTTGTGAAATATTTGGAGAAACAGGTTAGAAAACAATGCTTTAAGAGAGTTTAGGCTGTTTAAGTCAGGGCTCAGAAGATCAGAATGCCAGCAGAAATGTAGAGTGATAGACAGGGCTCATTACTTTCAGATTGTAAGAAAGACCCTGCTGGAAATTGGACTAGAGGTCATTTAAATTAAATGCTATCAGAGTATTTGTCTGAATATTGTCCTTGCCCAGACACTTTGTGAAAGCCCAAGTTTAAAGGCAATGGAATAATTGATCTGGCAGAGGATGTTTTAAAACAACCTGGCTTTTGAAATACTTCCAGTTTGGTCAAACAAGCCAGTATTAAGTTGATACCAAAGAAAAACAAATTGTTTCCTGAAAAGAGAGGGCCATTATAAAGAAACCAATTACTTTGTATCGTGATAATAAGAGAGATACCTTAAAGACAGCTCAGGAATTGTCTAACATGCACCATCCCCCAAATCACAGACTCAAGGCATAGAAGAAGAAACACATCTCAAAGACTTGAGAAGAAAGTTCCTCCTGTGTACACATCTTGCACAGTTTCTCCTAAGAAATTTTTTCTTCAGGATTCCTTTTACCTTGCTCAGCAGTCTAGGCACTAAGAAGCAAACAGGACTCTACTAGATTTGGCAGCAACACCATTGCATTTCTTTATGTCTGAATAAAGACATATGTATATGTGTGTGTACATTTTCTTCATTTTAAGGGACACTTTAATTGATTGTTTGTCATGGATGTGAATATTTAAAGTCAGTAACTTTAAATCCAAACACAACAAAAATATAGAAAAGTATTTCAAAGTAGTAAAAAAGAAAGGAGAGGCTGTTAATATTTTCAAACTATGAAGTCTATGGGAAAAATTGGAAATGGCTTCATGATAATTGCATTTACTTGTTACATTGTGTAAAAATTTTACATCATTCATTAAATATTCACTCAATCTTAAGCTAATTAGGTGTTAACAAATGGTGTTACAGGTAAGGTACAACATAAAATAGGCTGAATGGGTGAGTAGATATCCAGTAACAAAAGCAAGTTGTTAAAATTTAGCTTCAGAAGGGAAGTTATAATAGAGAAACATCAAATAGAGAAATGAAGATCAAGATGCAAATTTTCAGAAGAAACACTTGAAACCTAATTTTGGCCTATAAACCTTTTACTGATACTAAGAACACAAAGTAATGTTGTTGATTTAAAGGGGAGGTTTTAATCAGAATGCTTCCCTACAGAGGATTGTGCTATGTGCTTGCCCCATTCAGATATGTTTCTCTTCTTACCAAGGGCTGTAAGAGACAATTTTATGTCACTGGTTTCTTCTGCAGATCTTGTTTTGCTAAAGGGAGGGAGGAGGAGCTAAACAAGTAGCCATTCTGTGGATGTGAATTTCAGGAGGGAATCAATAACATTGATCATCATGTGAAGAGTACCACCTTTTGTTGGATAAAGATTCATGAATGTTTCCTGTCGATTCAGTTGGGCCATGGGCATCAAACTATGGGAATGAGATTCATTCTGGCCCAGTTTAGGAGAACAATCTGGAGAAAACATTGGACCTTAGCAAATGAAAGCTGGATTTCAAATGCAACACAAAAGGCATATGCTATGCTGCCTTCACGGACCTGCATCCTGTACCATTGCAAAAGCATTTCAGTTAGAACCTCATTCCCCCTCCCCCCCTCACACACCTGCTTAAACATTGTGCTGTGGTCATCTTGAAATTCTCAATAAATTTTAAACAAGTTCTACTTTTACACTGGGCCCTGCAGATTGGGTAGCCTGTTTGAAATTTACAATGCATGTCAAGAAAGCAAAGATCAAAGGAATTCACAATTAGAATAAGGTAGTCCATCAAAGAGTCATCAAGCACTTTATGAAACAAGAGACTGTTTTAATACAGATTTCTTATGCTCAGGTGGTAAAAATGACCAGCCACGTAAACCAGAAGATGGGACATACTTTCCTCCTTCATTTCTATCATTACCAATCTCCAGTGCCTCCTAACCCACTAAAATATCCTTGAAGGAAGGGAGATGGCATTCATAAGTGGAGAGAGGTAGTTAATACCTATTCCAATCCCAAGGAGTAGACATTGGCTTGCAACAGACACTTAGCAGGATAGGAATCTCTTACGGATATTCAGATAACCAAACTGAGATTTGACTGTAGACTTAATGTAATGGCTTGAATATTACATTTTTCCCAGAGTCTCATTTTTTGAATGTTTGAGCCGTAGCTGGTGACACATTCTGGGGAATTCTGGAAGCTTTTAGGTGATGAGACTGAGCTGGAGGAAATGGGTCACAGGGAAAGGGTCTTTTGAAAGTCTATTACCCCTGGCCTCTTCCTGTTCTGCTTTCTGCTTCCTGCTTCCTGGCTGCCATGAGGTAGATAGCATCTGTTGCGTGTTCTTCCACCATAACATTCATCTTGTATAAATGGGACCAATCCACCATCCTGAGCTCAATAAATCCTTCCTACTCAAAGTTGTCCCTGTCAGGTATTGGGTCACAGTGATGAAAAAGTAGCTAATTAACTAACATTGGGTTATTATATAGTGATTATAAAATTATAAGGCCACCAAGGTTTTCATCCTGGAATGGAGGAAGAGCTAAATGAATACCTATTAAGGAAAAAAGTGCAGTACGAAATAGAAGTGCTTTTGGAATTGCATCTCTCAAATGATATTAACTCAATGCATTGGTTATATAATTGAATTTGAACAATCTAGAAACACTGGATGCTTTTAACTCATCTTAAATTTAAAATGATTTTCTGAAAGCTAGTGTTGTGAATTTTGACTTTTTGTACATGTTATTTCTTAATCTAATTTGGTAATAGGAAAAAAAATTATATTTTCCCCATGGGTCACAATACTTGTTTGCATCTGGTTGTTGGCTTGCTGGCATTGTTCTAAAAATGGAAAAATTTAGCTGCTCAATGCTGATGCCTTAAAGTGAGGAATGATATGTAATATTTCTGTAGAAAACACGTTTAATGGTTGGGGCAATTAACCTTCATTTATTCTGACTTAATTTTTCCAATGGCAGCAACATTGAATTTTTTTCCTTTAGTGGATATTCCAGCATGACCTGAATTAGGAAAATGTTGCTCGCTTTCAATGTATTTCTACTGTTATTTTCCATTTTATGCTAAGACCATTGTAGGCTAATTATAGAAAATTATATTTGGTGATCATCACATGTGTGTGAAATTAACTTGGTCACTGATGGACTGATATTTAAAGTGAGGTTGCAATCTATCCTGGGATTTTGTAAACTATATCTTAATTCCCTTTAACAGTGAGGAAATGCATTTTCTTAAATTTTCTGAATGGTTTTTATTTGGAAAATCTTTGTAAAATATGAATATTGTGATTTTCTTATGTTACAAAATTTCACAGTTTTTAATTTTTTTCCGTGAAATGTTGTTACAATATCTACCTGGATAGAAAAAAAGCTTGAAGGTGATTTATCTGATTATTATTATCTGATTATTATTTAAAATATAACTTAACATTAAAGAGATTTTATTTTTGTACTTTTCTTAAAATTAGGATGTCAGCATTTCTAAGGTTACTTTGTTAAAATAATTTAAAATTATTTTAGTTGCACAAATTAATGAGGTATACAGTGTAATATGTATATAGTGTGTATTGACCACAACTTTTATCTTAGGTTAGTAAAGATGGTACTAAAATTCAGATTCTTGTGGGAGTGGGGCATCATGGGTAAATTATATTTGCATCATTTTTAATGTAAAAGGTAATTTTCTTAAAAGTATGTTAGTTAGCTTTCCATCTTGTGACAAAAATCCCTGAGATAATTAGCTTAAAAGAGGAAATGATACTTTAGCTCAAATTTCAGAAATATTACTCTGTGACTATTTGGCTTTATTACTTTGGGAGTGTGGCAGCACAGAACAGTATGGTGTAGTTGTAGAGGGCTTCTCACCTCTACTCACCGATAAGCAGGGCCGGGAAGCAAGGGGAGAAGTTGTGGGAGAGGATGGGATGACATCTTAATATCCCTTTCACAGGCATACTCTCTCAGTAACCTGACTTACTTCCAGGAGCCCACCTCCTAAAGATCCTACCACTTCCTAATAACCCAAAGGGCTGGGGACTAAGCCTTTAACACATGAGCCTTAGGGAAAAAATTTCCATTCAAGACCCAAACTATAGCAGGAAGAATTTAAAAGTGGACTAAATGACCTGCTACCCTCATCAGGGATTGAGGGGAGTGTACAATGACATTTGGCTCACCACCGGATATTGTAAGCCATTACTCACAACACTTGTGAATTCCATTTGGAAAAGTAATTTTAAAACTGTTTTGTTAAAATACATACCTTTCCATAGATCTTCATTAGTTTAATACTTTCCTCTGCTTTTGTTTCCTCTGCTTTTGTTGTAGGCTCGCAGAAAGGAGGTGTTTATCCAGGAACGATACGGGAGATTTAATCTAAATGACCCATTCTTGGCACTCCAGAGAGACTATGAAGCAAGTTCCAGTGACAAAGAAAAGAAGCCAGTTTGTACCAACCCCCTGTCCATTCTTGAAGCAGTCATGGCCCACTGCAGAAAAATGCAAGAAAGGATGTCTGCACAGCTGGCTGCTGCAGAGAGCAGACAAAAGAAGGTACTGATGCTTCAAGTCCTTTTCCCTTTGATAGAATATAGAAGGGACCAGGTCTTAGAGGTGCTTACTCTTTGTTAAATGATAACTTCTTATGAAGGATTAGGATAGGTTTCTAGGAGGATAAAATGCTAAAATGGTTCTGGTGTCCCTTTGAAAATTTGAACTTAGTGTTTAAGATGTAAAATAACACTAAATCATCAAGTATGACAAATATTACGCTTTCATAATGGTTTATTTGAAACTGTCTTTAAAATATAGATTATTTTTTTTGCCAGGCACTGATGGCTCACGCCTATAATCCTAGCCTAGATCTCAGGATCTGAGGATTGTGGTTGAAAGCCAGCCTGGGCAGAAAAGTCCATGAGACTCTTATCTCCAATTAACCACCAGAAAACCACTTCTGGCACTGTGGATCAAGTAGTAGAGTGCTCACCTTGAGCTTACAGGGACAGCACCAAGGCCCGCAGTTCAAGCCCCATGACCAACCAAAAAATAAAATAAGTACATAGATGTTGTGTGAGGGGTATAGGCAGTAGAAGACTTCTTTCTAGTAAAAACAAAAACAAACAAAAAAAAAACAAAATAAAAAAACCAGTCATGCTTCCTTCACAGTGGGTCAACCCAGCAATGCAGCCAGGACTCATTATATGGGAGTATCCTTTAGTTTAGTTTAACCAGCATCTATCTACTAAAATATTTCTTTGCAACCAGGTATGTTTGATGTACTCTTGTAATCCTATCTGCTTGGGAGGCTAAGGAAGAAGGATCATCATTCTGAACCTACCCTAGAAAAGATAAGGAGATTCCACCTCAAAAAACAAAAGAAAGCTAGGGGCAGGATCAAGCAGTAGAACACCTTCAAAGCAAGAACAAGGCCCTAAGTTCAAACATCAATAAAGCCAAATAAAGAACACATGGCAAAATATCTCTGCAATTATTTTTTATTATTCGATAATTTTTTCATGATTTCTTTGTAAGATGAAAATGGCATGGAGAGAATAGAGGGAAGGTTTACTGGGTAGGTCTTGTGTCACAGTGATCTCCTTTTCAAGCCCTGAATAATAGCAAACTTTCTGTTGGGATGTGCTGCCTGGACTCCCACATCTGCTGACTTGTGCTCTTTTAAACCAACCTCCAACCTCTCCTCCCATTCCCACCAGCACACTGGCATTTCTTACATTTGAGTAGATGCTTCAAAAAGGACCAAGTTTGATGAAACTTCAGCTGGGCACTGGTAGCTCACACTTATAATAATCCTCACAACTCAGGAGACTGAGATCTGAGGATTGAGTTTCAAGGACAGTCAGGACAGGAAAGTCCATGAGACTCTAACTTCAGTTAATGGCCAAAATCAAACCAGAAACCAAAAACTGTAAGAGGACCCATGGCTCCCAGTAGTAGAGTGCTAGCCTTGAATAAAAAGTCAGATCAGGGACAGTGTCTAGGCCCTGAGTTCAAGTCCCATGACTGACCCCCCCTCCAAAAAAAAAAAGATTTTCAATTTTGTCGTTCTAATACACTGCCTTTCCTGTGGAAAGGGTGGAAGCAGAGAAGGTATTGCTATCTGGTATGAGTAGATTTAAAATGATAGGTTTCTCCATCATTATTGAGCCATGCGTTAAAATGTTTCTTCTATTTATGCTTTTGAGGGAATTCTCACATTTAACATCTAGAAAGTTAACCTGAACGTTGCACCATACTATAAATGTTTATGATAGTGACGCTTAGTGTGTGTCTTTTCCTTGTAATTATGTCTTTTAATAACATATAAATGCAAATGTACTGCTGTAGGTGTTGAATACATTTTTCTCAGTCTGTTACATGGGAGAAAATTAAAGTGCTAGGAGTAATAGTAAAGCAGAAGAGAATTTGCCTTCATGGGCATGGGCCAAAATTCAGTTTTACTCCAATTCTAAAAGCCCTACAGACAACCACTAGAGTTTCTGGACCCTACAAACCACAAACTTCCCACAAACCGCATAAGCAAGGGCCGGTGTATTTCAGCTGATGTCACTGAGACTCATTTGTATGTCTTGGATGGAATATATGTCAATTATGTTCTTTGTGTCAAATGGGCTAGATCATAATAGATTATTTCTGCTGGATTTTATACTACATTATCAAATATCAAGAGGACATTTTGTATTCATTTATTCTATGAAAATGTGTACTTTTCTCAGTTTTACTTCACTTTTGCATTTTATTTATCATTTCTCTCTTAGGAGAAAATAAGGAAGCCGTTTCTAGCTGAATCAAAGATTTTATTATCTAGCAGACTTTTAAAATCAACTTACATCCTGTCTATTTTTGAATGACTGGGTCATTTCCAACCTGTCTGGGAATGAAAGGAAATTGTTTGTGTCCTATGGTCCCTGAGAGGCTAACATGGGTCAGCCTCCTTGTGTAACAGGGATACAGGGAACCTTTTATGTCTGGATTCCTTGGCTGGATAGCTTCAGTGAAGGGTAGCTTTCATAGACAGTTCTGCTTTGCTATCCATAAGGAGTATTCCAGCAGATTACAGAGTGTGAGCAGAGTTTCCGCTTCTAGTCTTACCTTGTATCTCACAAAACCAGAAACCTGAAAGCCATCTTTTTGCCGGCAAAATTATCTGTCCCCCATATTACTGAAAGTGAATACTTTCACCAAACGTCTTCCCTTTCAGGTTCAGAAATCTAGAAAAGAGTAAGAGAAAAATATATCCATTATTTTAAACAAGTCCAATTTCCTTAAAACACTGCCAGAGTAAAAGTCTGGGAAAGCGAAGGCCCCACTATCTCCAATTCCAGTGTGCATGGTCTGTCACTGGCATACCTCATCGGTAATTCTATGACATTTGGCCTGAACGCTGCTGTGGTTGGGCTCCAAGCTAGGAGGAGAGGCTCTGTGCCCATTCATGTGTTGGTTCCTGCTGAGACTACTAATAGGAGGGTTAACTGTTTGACAATTTGTGTGCCAGAGAAATTTGGGCAAGAGTCAATTTGGCAAATAGGCTGAGCCTGTAAAACCACGTTGAATAAGCTAATGAGTAGTCATCATGGGGAACTTAGCCTCTGGTCTTCTAGTCTTTGTTTTGAGCCAGAAACCTAGGGTAGAAAAATTTATTTTTTGCACCATGCCTTAATAGAGCGTCTATTTTAATGTATTGGAAAACTGTAGAGGAAATACATGTATTTCCAAACATGTTATTCATACTGAGCAACCATCATTTCTCACCCTGGAATAAGAAATTGGAATAGAGCTCTTAAAAAGAAGTCAAAATACTATCTAGGAAAATTAGAAGAAAAGTGGTTCTTTCCATCAGGAAAAAGATTTCATTAAGATTGCTGTGTTTTATTACTCTGAGTAGCAGCTTGGCATAATTTAGTTGGTTACATAGCATTAGCTGTCTCCAACAGGATTCTTCATTTTATACATGTGAAGCCAATGTTGATTGATTTAGGCAGAAAGGGCATTTATAGACAGGCTTACAGAAATGTTAGCCATTTTTCAGTACTGCTCAGCCTGGTTGGAACACACAGAGATCAGCTCTTACCAGCCAGTATCACAGATGATGAATATTCTCCAGGAAGCTACTCTGCCCTAATATCTGCTTCTGTTGATAAAAGCTAGAAGCTGTGGCTTATCCCTCTGCTGTGCTGAAGCCAGGCAACACCTGATCATCATTTGCTTATTGTTCCAAGTATGCTGTTCAGCCCTATTTCTTGCATCACAAGTTTCTTACTGGAAGCTCAAGACAGGTACAGGTGATGGACCCAACGTATGCCCTGCATCTTCTCCCTGGTAACTATTGAAGAGTCTTTGCTTACGTAGGGTAGAATTTTTTAAGTTCGAGTTTCTAGAAAAGGAGTTTCTAGTGTTAGACAGTCAAAGAAGTGGTTTTTTTTTAAAAAAAAGAGCAAGCTGGGAATATGGCTTAGTGGTAGAATGCTTGACTAGCATGCATGAAGCCCTGGGTATGATTCTTCAGTACCAAATAGAGAAGAAGCTGGAAGTGACACTATGGCTCTAGTGGTAGAGTGTTAGCTTTGAGCAAAAGAAGCTCAGGGACAGTGCCGAGCCCCTGAGTTCAAGCCCCAGGATTGGCCAGCTCTTCAGCTCAAGGCTAGGGCTCTACCACTTGAGCCACAGCGCCATTTCCGGCTTTTTTCTTTTTGCTTATGTGGTGCGGAGGAATCGAACCCAGGGCCTCATGCATGCAAGGCAAGCACTCTACCACTGAGCCACCTTCCCAATCCCAAGTCAATTGTCTTGTATGCTTTATTTCATGCACTTTTTTTCTGTTGTAAATAAGTGTATTTATTTTTCCTTTATGTTTGATGTTGTTTTAATTCTTTATATAATGGTTACCTTACCATTTAAAAATTTCCTTTAAATTTTTAAATTGCTTTCTTGAATTTCATCCAATAATATGATATAATATTTTTAGGAAGAGTATTTAGCATGCTTGGAACAGGAATGATCATTTTGGCTGATTCATGTGTATCAAAATGCATGTTCATTCCTCAGAACCAAGAAAGAGCAAGTATTAAGGAACCTTGAAGCATAGGTCTGTAGCTTCAGCTGAGATGTTTAGGATAGGGCCATTTGCCTCATCCAAATAGATAAGAACCTGGAAAACCTGGCTTTCAGGCCTTGACTTCCCTTTTGATATTCTGGGTTAAAAGGAAGGGGCAGATGGGAATGCAGAGACCGAATTGCTAACTGGTTACTACAGACCTTGTGCTATAGAAAAAAAATTAAAAAGAGCTTTTATTATAGCTTATTGTTATCTATTTGAGTGAACAAGTGGATAGAGGTAGCAAAGGTAAGATGGTAATGGTGCCATGAGGATTAGAAGATTTGGACCAGTAACATGGAATGTAGTGAAATTTCATGGGAGACTTAGGGTATAACAAACAGTTTCCACCTTTTCATATTTTAAATGACCATAATTACTTTCCTCTCGGTTTTCTGTTTTGACTTAGAACTGATTGCCTTTGCATGGCCAATGAGCTCCC